TTCAAAGCTGTCTCTCAGACCTCTAGTTCGGAAGTCAGTCGAATTGTCAATATTGTTAACGGTTACACTGTCCACCGTTAAATCAATACGAACTACTGGTGCAATTTGAATGAAATTTTATCTGCGAATTTAGGGTGTAAAAGATCGGAAAAAAATGATCTAACATTGTCATAATTCATAATCAGATGAATAAATTATCGTTCATTTGATAGCGGACGTTTTTCTTTATCGAACACGCTAAATCACAAAATCGAAAAATTTGACGAAAATTGACAATTTAGGATAGGGAACCTTAAATAACAAAATAAATATGTTAAGAAAACAATTTATTTGGCTTCTTTTAAAAAATCTTTTCGGAACATTTCTGGATTAGTTTTCAGTGTATTTTCATATAAATTTTGAAATTATTTTCCGAGAAAATTTTAAATGACATTGACAAAACAATTTCTCATATCACCGGAATTCGAAATTTTCAAACGCGATTTGAGTTCGGGGGAATGCGATATTCGGAATCAGCATGGTCGATTCTCTATGGGTCCGTGATTTTTATTCCGAGGTACTTCCGAAAATTAAACTCGGGCGCTCCAAAAAAATATTAGAAAAAACATTTACGCGCTTACGAGGATTTAAACCTCGGCACTGTAGGTGTTGCTGTTCGCTATCGATAAACTAATACCTAAGTATACGTTGGCTTTTAAAAAGTTTTAGAACAAAGGAAATTTGTTTTTTTCACTATTGTCTAGGGAACAGAATGCGATAAAATAAATCTTTAAAAGAAGTTTCGTGAACTAAATTAGGATGAATCAATCAGAGTAAGGCAAATGGTCAATAATGGCTTGATCAGCATTTCTATCATAAATGAACCGCCCAGTTTTTTAAAGCGCGTTTGGGTTTAATTTTTATTTCCAAAATTAATTTGACATTTTTTTCTAACGCGGTTGCCAGCGAAATCTTTGCGGTCGGATCTCGAGATGTACTTTCCATCTTCATTCTTTAACTACAAGAATAAGAATGTTTCTTAAAGACATGCGCGTATAAAAAAGAGACAGTTTTCCTACATAGGAACAAAAATTCACCAAATAATTTCTTAACGTTGATGAATTCTTATGGAACGATTTTTATAAGAATATAATAAAAAGCAAAAAGTCTTAATATGAAAGGATCCCTTAAAAAAGAAGTGTCTTTTAAGGTGGTTGAGACACTGATTTCATCATGTTTTACCTGGTTTTCTCTTCGGAAACATAATGCAATCACGGTGAATCTCTCTACAATAAACATCGATTCAGTCCGTATACGGTAAAAGTCCTTAGATTTTATATTATACATTTTACTCAGTATAAAGAAGTAACAGTGAAGAAAAAAAACATGTATGATTATACAGTAAAGAAAAAGTAGAAATCGGAACAGTGGTCGCAATCTTTTTGATCTCAAAAGGTCAATCATTCATAAAAAGCAAGTTCCTCAAAGAGAAAAACCCTCTGTCACTCGTTTCTTGAGGTTGCTATTTTGTGTACTCTTGTTTTATTACAGATTTCATCACTAAGCACTCATATAACAACTGCACTCTAAAAAGAAAGATATCCTACAAAACTAAAAAAAAGGATATCAGCATTTGTTACCAATAAAAACCAATCTCCGTACCTTAACCTGTTTTGATTTTCTAGGTTATGTTTATGGGTATTTCTGATCCCACAGAACCAAAAACGGTTCATACATGAAGGACATTCCGAAAAGTGTTTTGTGGTTGTCATCCCTGCCCCGCGGGTGACATTAGATAAAAGGCAGTGTCAAAGTATAGCTGAAAGCAATTCCTATATCTGTCTAAAATCGGACTTCAAATTTAAAGGGAATGCGCTCGGAAATGAGGGTATTTCATTTTTGAAGCTGCTTATGTGTTTTGCGCTTCATGTGATATAGCTCTCCTTCCGGATTTGAAAAGTTTTGTAACAAATTCGACTGGATCCGACAAAGAAAAAAGTCCAATCGTCGCCATCTTTGGTGCGGCTACAGGAAATAAAACAGGGAAAGATTTGGAAATTCGGAAACGAAGAGAGTTTCTGAGGAGAAATAAAAAGCGTTTCATCGTGCCGACAAAAGAAAAATTTGAGTTAACGAGAATTTGCGTCTGTGTGGAGGCGAAACTGCTTTGCATGCAGTTCAACGTTCTCCTTTTTAAATTTGAAACAAAAAAAAACGCCAAGAGCGTCATTTGAAAGTCCAAAGGAGGACTGAGCAAAAGCAGAAGAAGCAGGACCTAGCCCACGGAGATAGAATCCTTCAAGTGCTAAAGACAAAATAAGGTTATCGCTTTTAGCAAATAAAATCTTCTCAACAAACAAAACAAAAAATAGAAGACAAATAATTCTCTACTTGCATCTTCTGTGTGGCGGAGAAAATTCACAGGTCCAGAAAAGGCTTTCCTGCAATATAATTACTTTTCAACGCAACAAGTAACTTAAAATATATCGACTCGAAAATCTCGAGCTTACAAAATGTAGAAGAAAAAGCCCAGTAAATTGACAGAACGATCCCTAAAGGACGAAAGGGGTGAGACTAGTTCAGCAAGCTTTCCTTTGCTTACAGTACGTAAAAACAGTTTTATCATTCTCTAAGATTCCTTGGTTTTATTCTCTTTTACCCCAAGCATTTCAAATGATAGCACAAGAAAAAAAACTATTACTGCGGTGTTTGCTTCCTCAGAGTATAGAAATCACGACAAACAGTAATTCTTTTACAAGAGCAAAAAAATCTGCCTTCGTTTAGTTCTTCTAAACTGCATTTTTCCTTGACTTTAGTCTAGGATCTGACAGAATGGTTGTCTGTGTGTCTGTGCTCAGAATATGAAACATGCAGGCAGGGTTTCTGATGAGAATCTGCCAGAAAGTACATATACGCTTTGTAACTGACCGTAGAGCGTACGTGTACGCTTCAGGAATTAAATGCAAAGTCATAAAATATTTCTATTATAACAAGGAAGAAAAAAAGATTATTATTCATTATAATGTTTTAATAAAATCAAGTTCAAATACAGAAAAAAAGTGTTTTAAACGGCTTTTTCGATGCTTTCACATTCACTTTCTATCCGCTTAATAGCAAGTGGTCAAATGGTATTCTTGTTCTGTAATGGTATTAGGACTGACGACTAAGTGCATCCGCTATAATGTCACCAAAACATATAGGATGTTAAACATTCGAACTGAAATTCATTGGATGAAAATTTTAGATTTAAATAAACTTCGAATAACACTTCATTTCCCCATAATTCTTTGTTATGCTCAAGCGCAGCTACTGAGATCTCCGATGAGGGCACCTCACGATGGACCTCCAACACAATCTGTTAGTGACGCCTTCATCGGAGATCTCAGTAGCTGCGCTTGAGCATAACAAAGAATTATGGGAAAATGAAATGTTATTTGAAGCATATTTAAATCTAAAATTTTCATCCAATGAATTTCAGTTCGAATTTTGAATATCCTATATGTTTTAGTGACACTATAGCGGATGCACTTAGTCGTTTTTAATGATTTTTGATACGGAGTTTGCTCCCTTCGTGTGTCATATATTCGCTTTAAATGGGTTTTTCGGACACCGAAAGCGATTTTATTAAAATTCATCGAAAAAGAGAAAATTGGACTTCTTCGCGCTACTACAGAAAAAGAAATGAAACTATTGAACTTTCTCTTTTAGGAAGTAATAGAAGAACTATTTTGCTTTAGAATAAAATGAATCCAACCTCAAAATATTGGATTTTAGTTGAGTTATAAAGAAGTTTTTGTATGCTTCAAACATGCAGGTTGAAAGTGATTATTTTTAGCGAAATCGATAAAAAGAAAAAGCGTTCTTCCTCAATCACTTGTGATTATGGGGAATTTTAAATATAGCTTTTCAACAGCTACAAAATCGCCATCTTCGCGTTTTTCGTTTCATAAAATATAAAGGACTGAAACTTAAAATAGCCGTCTTTTGAGTTAAAAACGAATGAAGATTGAAATTTCACAGTATTTCATCTATATTCCTTACTTTTAGCGTATGTAAAAATTGTTTAATATATTTTCTGTAGAGAATATAACACCGAATCTTTAAAAAAAAATAACTTTGTATCTTCAAAGGAAAAAAAGTTATAGTCGAAATACTCAGAGGTTCATTTCCTCTAGAACATCCGATAGTTTCGAAAAATAAGCTCGTAAAACCCAAGGTTTCAGGAAAAAAATAATAAAAATACCACTTTCGTACACTACTAAATCAAAACGATTTAGTAAAATACGAACGAAAAGAAAATAATTCTATTTAGTATTTCAAAATACTAGATATGATTTTTATTCTGGAAAAAAAGCCTTTTTGGTACTGTAAAATACCGTTCAGCGTTTCGCTATAAAAAGGTTGGTAACCTACAAATCCAAACCTTTTTTCAGTTTCCAAAAAACCCAGGTCGTATCCAAAGAAACCATGTTGGTATCCCGAAATGCCATTTGAAATTTCAGAGCGAATCAAATACCCTATGGTATTTTACCATTAACAGAAAACTAATTTGCTTCTGTAGAATATCTCTTACGGATACTTTAGTAAACTCTTTTGGTAACCTATCAAAAATGAAAAACCCTTAAAGAATATCTTAGAATATGAAATACTCTCTTGAAATTTTTCTTTGTCTGCTAAACTGCACACTAGTGAATCCAATGGTTTAGCAGTTGCAGCGAAACCTAATTTGATTTTATATATCTCGATGCAAAACTTTGTTGTGTACACAGTAATAAACTACGGAGAGTCTGTGTTTAGAAGCGTTTTTTGATGAACAAGTTTTTGAAGTATCTCGACCAGGTTGATATCCGCTTTTTACTATTTCAGACAAAAGACGTGTAAAATCGAAGGAAGACACCGGTGGACACATAATTACATTTTAACAAAGTTACGATCATGAAGCACATCATGACTAGTGTCAAGACTATACGTCCGGACGGCTTGGGAAATTTCTGCACTGGTCTGCCGACTGGTAGTACGCCATGCTCGTCTTTTGGACACCCCGTCCTGTCTACTCCTATGGTTCAGCATCCGATCGTACGTCAAGACTTGTAGTCCTGACACTTTTAAAAAGAAATTCCAAATGCGGACTAGTCTGGACGGGTTACTCGGATCCTTCGGACTAGTCCGGATGCCGGTCAACCAGGTTCTTTTGCTCGCCTGGGTGGTTCGTGTAGTTCAGTGTTTCATCAATTAACTTATCTACATAGTATGGCATTGGATAGTTATGAAATATGTTTGTCATCGATAGTAAAAATAACTTAACTGAAAAATTTATTTTATTAACAAATGTTTGTAATAAAGAAAAAATGATTGGATAAAAAAGAATTGAATATTTGATAAATATAATAACAAAAACAAAGAAGGGGAAGAGATTTTGCATAATTTAATGAATATTAGAGAAAATAAGACTAAAATAAATAAATTTGTTGTGGATGAAATCAATTAATAATAAAGTATATCTTTCTTCTTTTTTCAAGTGATCATTCATCAAAGACATTCAGATAGAATCTTTCATTGTTTCTCTTTTGAATAGAAATGAAAGAAACAATAAAAATAAAGGAAATTAAAATAAAAACTGATAATAAAAATTTGTTTATATCTTTATGAAATATATCGTTTTTTAATTTCATTCTCTTCATTAAAATCTATTCCATATTAACTTCAAATCTTCTTCAATAGTTTCTACCTTTCTAGATTTCAAATTCTGAGTCATGGGCTGCTGCAACGTTTGTAAGAGTCTTTCTTCTATAAGATGATAGAAGCTTGTCTGTCTTATCCATAGTGCTTTGCTCAGAATGATAACGTACTTAGGCCAATCCAAAAGTAGTGAGGAGACACTTTTTTCATATAGAAACCTTGAGAAAATTTTCTTTTTTTCTGAACAGAGAGCGTCTTTCGCTCTATTTTTCTATGCTATTTGATCATTATTCAACTGATATTATAATAATCAAATAGAAGATAAGAACTGTTTTTGTTAACAATGAACTAGTAGTTCAAACACTCCATAAGTATTTTCCGAATAACTCTCGATCGAAACAAGCTAGTGAACTGAGATTTTTACCGTTAGAAAGAAGAGATGAAAACGCAACAAATCATATATGACAAGCTTTTCAAATATGATTGCCTAAGATTTTTTATTCAATCTGCCAACTATCGGAAGAATGGTTGTTTCTTATTGAAAAAATGGAAAAAGCAAAAAGTTGACTTCTTTCACAGGAACCGCTGAAGATCGCCTTGAAAGTTCAAATAGATCACATATAATTCTCGAATAATTAAATTCGAAAATCTGAAACTCGCATAATTTGAACACACATTCGATAATCAAAAATTTACTGTGAATAATATACTTAATATTAAAAAGGAATCAATTAAAAACCTTAAGAAAACCAAGTTTGAAAGCTCTGCTCTATACGATTAGATGTGTCTTCTTCTCCTCTTTTCAATGATGCAAAGAACATTTTTCTATTTAGTGTCTGACGAAAATTATTCGAAAAATAGTCACTTGCTTTTTTTGAAGATAGCCATTAGTGCTACCAACTTGTTGTCGACAAAAACAGTTCTTATCTTCTATTTGATCATTACAATATCAGTTGAATATTGATCAAATAGCATAAAAAAATAGAGCGAAAGACGCTCTCTGTTCAGAAAAAAAGAAATTTTCTCAAGGTTTCTATAAGAAGAAAAGTACCTCCGTTGCTACCTTTGGATTGTCCTAAGTATATATCAAAGTCTAACATGCTGATGATGATGAAAGGCTCTGACTGAGTACTTTTTCTTGTGATCGGAATTGTAAATAAAATTCGCAAATGAGTTAATTTCTAATAAATTCTAGAATCTCTATTTTGGTATTCGACTCTACCTTAAACAGACAAGTTTTTATTTGAATTGATACATTTTCATAAGTTTTGATAAATTTTTCTTTCTCTTCTTCCTTTTGCACAATTATTTAGTATCCCGTCCAAATCCACCTTTTACACTTGTTGTTGATACTTTTAGTTATTTTCATTGATATAGACAAAACACTCAAATTCTTATATTATTTGCAATAGTTAAAAAATCAGGTTATAGTAATATTTATCTTTCATCATGATAAATACTTATGTTATTTGATAAACATAACGCAATGAAATGGTTATTTGTCTATAGCTAGACGACCATTATGGTTTGAAACAGGAGATACAACTGTTTTAACAGCAATATATACTGCTCATCATGTACAATCAAAAGTTGTGGAAATTCCATTACGTCTGACCCTTTCTACAGGAAAGCCATATGTGAATAGATATAATAGACCGAAAATTGATTATTTATGAATATCTTCAAACCAGTAGAAATTTTCAATTGAATTATTTTGTATAAATATTTTTCATTTTAAAATCTTATTCATATTTAATAAATGTTATATAGATCACTGAATATATCAAATAAATATTGATTTGATTTATTGCTTGACTCATGACGTTTTTATCCCAAGTAATACAGTTTCTAATGCTTCTCACTGTACAAATCCTCGATTACCAACTACTCTGTTACAGAGGTCTCTGTCTGTAATGAATCGTTGAATCGATCACAGTCGACAGTGAGAGATTAATTCCTTCACCTCTTTCTTCTCTGTTTATTCATCCAAAAAATCTTTACAATACAATCTCGACACAAAAAAAAGAGAAGAAAACGAAGAAGGATAGTGAAGTACATCCTTTTAAAATAAGTTGACGTAATACAAAGAAGATGACGTCCGCCATCTTTTTTCCAATCGCGCAATAAGTATCTGAAAAAGTAGAACAAATAAGAGAAAGAGTATGAGAAATTCGATTTCTCATAGACGAAGAAGAGAGAGAGCGAAAAAAAGAATGGCCTAGATCTATAGAAGATGATATGGATAGTCCGTACAATAGAAGAGATGAGAAAGGTGAAATCGAAAGAAAGATAAGTGTACACATACAAATACATTCACTCATACATAGTGATGGCGCCAGGATTTTTCGAGTGGCTGGGCTCAGCCCATAATTTTTTAAAAATCCGTTCAGAATTTTTACGTACTCTGTTTTTAAATTTTTGGGTGGTTGGGCTCAGAACCACCCCAGCCCTGCCCTGGCGCCGCTACTACTCATACAGCTGAGAAAGTATTCTGTTAGAGTGTTCTCTAACATACTCTTATTTGGAAAAAGTATAATTTATATATAAGCTTGATTATTTGCGTAACTAATTATAATTATTAAAAATGTTTCAAAACAAAAGTGATTATATGCCTGGAGAAACTGTTGTTGTTTATCGATTCGCAAAGTTTACATATATATGCACGTGTCATTCTCTCCTCTCTTCTTTTACTAGTGTATATGATACATAGATCTTTCATTTCATAAAAAACTATCTGATCGCAATTCAAAGAAAAACTTATGTCTTCCATAGCCAATATCGAAATGGATCATTTTGGGTGTACAACAGATCGCATGGCAACAACAAATATTCGACCATGCATCTGCTTTGTGGCCATTTTGGATGATGGAAAGGTGTTCCTAGAGCACCGTAGTGATATCTTTTTTCCATATCAGTTCACAGTTGACAATATCAAATTAGTCTTTCAAAATCTCGCTGAACATATTGCTGAATTCATCAAAAATTCATCAAAAATTACGTAAGTGTATGAAAAGATATTCAGAAACTAAATATCTAACTCTTCGAATAATTAAAATTCAATTTCTTTTTCTTTGAATAATTCGCAATATCCATGTAATCAGAAATTCTTGAAAAGTAACTGGTGGCTAAAAAGATGTTTATTGATCTTTATGGTTATTAGGGTAGATATGTTAACGGAGTTGAAGTTGAATGAAATCACTGAAGTGAAGCAGATGGAACGTGTCGTGCTTCACTCTCTTATTTCATTTCAGAAAAAACACGTCTATAGATATATAAGTGGAAAAGAAAGAAAGAAAAGATGATCTAGGGTATAACAAAGACGAAAGTGATTAGATATCAGAATGGTATCCAGTGAATAAGGAGTGAAGAGAAAAGATAGATCGAGGTTGCCTCCAACAATGATCTATATAAATATAAAGAAAACTTCATCAGTTGGTCAACAAAGACACACAGGATGTATAACTTTTGAAAACAAGCGAAATAAACAATTTATTTTAATAAAATAGCAATTCAAAAATAGCAAAAATAGCATTCAAAAATAGCAAAATAGCATTCATTTAATTTTGTTTTTCTAAAAAGCAATGATTTATTCATTTTTATTCTTCTAAATCCAAAGAGTCTTGTATTTTTTTTCTCTGAAAAGATTTTTGATCATGAATTTTAAACAAAAAGCATCATGTTACATTAATAATCATATACATTATGTTCATTTTCCGCAGAACGTTCTTTATCATCGGCGGCAATGATGAACAACAACGTTTTTCCGATTTACAGGCAAAGATTGATATGTTAATCAATGGTGACAAAGATGATATTGATGATGAAATATCTCCTTACTATCAACAACTTCTTGATTCAGTTAAATACATCGATGTTCGTTTTAATATTCAGCTTAAATCTGAAGAATGTTTTGTATGGAGTAGTACTGATATTATTGTTGATAAATGCTCAAGCAATGAAAACATCACAGTTTTTATTAATCAATATGTTCAAACATCTAAAGGATTGACTATATTGATTGGTGTTTTATTATTTGAAATTCTGAACAAGACAAAATTATTTGTTGTCAATCAATTGGAAATAAATAATCATAAAGGTAAGGTAAATTTTTCATTGTTTCATCAAACGTAAAAATATTTTTAAAAAAATTGAGGTATAGTAATAATAGAGTATCTAGTCCAGTGTCGAAACATCAATATATTACTATTATAAATGCAACTATAGATTCACAGATGTGAAAGTTCGATGTCGTGATTAGATAAACTAATAAAAATGGAAATATTCACCGGTGAATAACGCTTGAAAATAATATTTATGTATAAAGTGTACGACAACTAAAATTAAATGAAAATTGTTTTTTTTCTTTAAATCTATCTTCGATTAGACATTGACAAGTAAAAAGAATTCTTATCATAGAAAACCTTGTATTTATTTATTAAAAAGTACCTGTTAAACATATAACATCAGTATTTATGGTTAGAAAAAATGTTCATGATTTCAAATTGCTAGATTCATAAGTAATATATGATAGATATACGTACTGAATTTTTGTTCAGTCTTTTAAAACAGTTGAAAAGATTATCATATTTGTAGATAAGAATCTGAATGATAATAATTTTGTTGCAATTATTTAATCATATATCGAAAATGAAAAATAATTTGTTAGTGAAGATCTGTATATGCACATATATATATATATATTATTTGTTCTTAGATGAAACATCACCCGAATATCAACTTGTAAATAATGTAGCTGAACATTTTCAATCGCGTTCAGCAGCTTTAGGTGGTGTCAAATGTGAAAATGATTTGGCTATTCGATTATTAAATTATAGTCGTGGTTTATCCAGCCAAATTGATCAAAAATTTTACGAAAATCAACGACAATTATCACCTTCTGATCAAGAGATGTGCGAGGTAATCATTTGTATTTCTCATAAGAAACGATTTGCTATTTAATACTTGAAATATTCTGCGAATGACTAAAATCTTATTTTTGCCATTAACAACTGTGTATTTGTGACATTTAGGATCATCGAATCTGATCAAGAATTTCAGTGAAATTCAATCAGTTTTAGTCGTTCTATCTGATGCTATTGTTTCACTCGATGAAGTATAATTAAAACATAGGATGTAGTTGAAAATTCAATTTTTTTAAACAAATTTCAAAATTTCCCAATCGTATTTCATAGAGTGAGGCAATACTGTTAAACAGAGTGATTCAAATTTCTCAAACGCCATTTGAACTCTTATTCAGATCTGATGTTTCAAGTGCCCCAAATATGTTATCTTTGATGAAATAAAAAACAGAAATTATTTAATTTGTAAAATGATTTTGTTTATATGTATTTTATAGTGTTTACATGGCGAATCAATTAAAATCAACAGAAGTGTTGATATGGATGACCATGAAAGCGATAATATTGATAATGATGATTAAAACTAAAGAAACTATTTCCATTACAAGAATAACAAGAAGCATTTTTATGATATTCACGTTTTTTACAAAAAAATTATTTTCATCACAAGAATAAAAAGAAACGTTTTATACATTGAAAAAAAAAGAAATAATTGCTTCATCATATTCAACAATGAGTACATAGAAGAACGCAAGGACTGATTAGTAATATATATTGCCAAGCGTAATGTCGTTTCATCTCTCGTACTATAGATCACAGTTTTCTAAGAAACCAAAAACTGCTGCAGTGTATGTTCTGGTTTCGTCCGATGCGCATTTACTTCCTATATTCTCGATGAAAAAATGAAAAATTTTGATCAAAGATCGCAGCTATGAAGACCTTTTTTCGAATCATAACGTCACAAAAAAAGAATCTGTTTATCTTCTGGATTCCGTAGAATTTATTTGAAATTTTTTCAAAAATTTTCTATCTAATGAATACTTGAGAGAAACAAAATTAAAATTAACACAGATTTTGTAACGAAAACACTTTAACGTATGATCTTTGTTTATCAATTTTTTTTCTGTAAAAATATGCTTTGCTATTCTGTTCATCATCAACTAAATCGTATGTTCTTGATTTCATTGAAAATAGTAACAAAATAATTATTATTAGAATATCTAATTTATATTCTAGCACATTCAAATAACGACAAATAGAGCCGAAATAAAGTTCGCAGCTGTCGAATATTTTTCGAAAATCTATCAAACGTATGCTATAAAAGTGAATGATGAACATAATAACTATATCTATCATCACTATTATATAGTCAAAACTCAAAACTTTCGTTGAAGTAATGTTTTTCTAGCTTTGATTGAGAAAAAGCAAAATATTAAAGAGATGCTCCTAAGCTATATTCTCCTCTCATGAAGGAAATGATTAAGAAGATAATGTTGTACATTACTTGAGAATTTTTATCAATCGAATGGATAATATTTTTATTGGTTGTCATTATATTAACTTACTCTTTTACCTCTTAACAAACTTTCGATGTGTCTATCCTATGAAAATAGCAGAAATTGTGAAGAAAAGAAACTGAATAGTGGAAGATAAACGTAAAGAGAAAATATATAAATGAAAAAAAACTATTGAAAGTCAGTAAGTAGCTATATAGTACTTATGACATACCGCATGATGTATTTTTTAATCAATCAAAAAGTAAAAATTATCAGAAAACAATACATAAATTTGTAAATAATGAGTATGAAATGAAATGAGAAGAAAACTCTTCTACAATCTTTTCCCCTGGTTTTATTGTAATTACAGAAGAGAATATTTTGATAGTTAATTAAAGAAAAATTTATTATTTGAATTCAAGTTTGTTTGTTAGAGAAAAAGATATTTTTCAAACAAGAAAAATTTGATGTCAATTTAACTGTATGAAAAATACACAAGGAAAATGTGTGAGTTCGAAATCGGTAGGAATTGCATGGAATTCCTGATAATTCCGGAACTACTTACTTCAATTCCAATTCCGGAATTCCGTGACGGAATCACACTCACCCCATACCCTCACCCACCGTCAGTGCAGGATGAAGAAAAACAATAGATAAATGGGTACTTATGTCTATTTATGTCTCGAAAAGTATACACCTATAGACTACACTTGTTTACTACACAACTTCTTTTCTTTTTGTTAGTATCATGGAAGACGACCTAATGGTTACTGTATGTCAACAAGATCCTCCGCAAGCTCTTCTGGAAGACAACAGTGAATTGAAGGATATTGAAAATAATTTGTCATAGATTGACTTATTTTAAAGTGTCCAAAAATTGACTTTGTTGCAATTCATTTTTGTTTCATTTCTTTTAAAATTGTTTGTAACTTTTTTTTAAAGATTTATAATTAATACGAAGACAAACATAATTTGTTAAAGAAATATTTGTATGAATTAAAAATTCTTCAATATAATCATAACGAGCATCATATAATGAAAGATCATTGAGATAAGGATATAATTGTTTTATTTAATATTCTGTACCGTTTATTTGTTGGTGGTTTATTATTTTTCAAAGTTACTTTTTCTAATAATGGAAATGATTTCTCAATTTTAATAAAAAATTCATGTTCAAATGGATATTCATCATATAATCCAACTTGACAAACAGATTTAAATAAACCACCTGAAAAATGATTTGTTATAGAATGATAATATTTTAATGTATATGGACATGAATAAATGTGACATTGACCTTGTTTTGCTTCATTAAAATAATTTTTTAACACAGACACTCGTCGAACTAAATCTCAGACACAATGAAATCAGAGCTCACGGAGCACAGCATCTAGCTGAGGCATTACAAAAGAATAGAGTGAATGTCATTTTTTCTTTATCTCTCTTGTATACCAATATCTATTTTTTATCACAGACACTCACCACACTAAGTCTTTACGAAAATCGAATCGGACCTGGCGGAGCACAACATTTGGCTCAAGCATTACAAAACCATACGGTGAATCTTCTTATCTCTTCATCTTTTTCATATGACAATATTCATTTTTTTAACTCAGACACTCAACATACTGGATCTCTACAGCAATCAAATTGAACACACAGAAGCACAACATCTGGCTCAGGCATTAGAAAATAACAAGGTGAATGTCCTACTCTTTTCATTTAACTGATCAACTAGTATCCGTTTTTTGAACACAGACACCCACACACTAGATCTCTCTTTAAATCAAATCAGAGACATAGGGGCGCAATATTTAGCTCAGGCATTACAAAGTAATACGGTGATCTTCCTTCTTTCTTCTCTCTTGTATCGATATCCAACTTTTTTACACAGACACTAAACTCAATAAATCTTCACGATAAATCAAATTGGAACTGTCGGAGCACAATATCTGGTTCAGGCTCTAGCAAAGAATAAAGTGAAGCGCACTCCTCATCTTTCTCATGTAGCATTATGCATTTTTTAACACAGGCACTCACCATACTATATTTCTATTTCAATCGAATCGGAGACACAGGAGCACAACGTCTGGCTTAGGTCTTACAAAATAACAGGGTGAACATCATGTTTTTCTCATCTCTCTCATATAGCATTATCCACTTTCTACTACAGACGCTCATCGAACTAAATCTCAGATATAATGAAATCAAAGCTCTCGGAGCTCAACATTTGGCTCAGGCATTACAAAATAACACGGTGAACGTCATTTTCTCTTCATCTCTCTTATTTTTCACATAGACACTCATCACATTAGATCTCTGGGGCAATCAGATCGGAATTCCTGGACTACAATATCTATCTCAGGCATTACAAAGGAACGAAGTGAAGCGCATCATGTCGACCTCTTTTTTATATGACAAAATCCACTTTTTATTGCAGACGCTAACCACATTGCATCTCGGCGACTATCATTTCGGCGATATAGGCGCAGAATATGTGGCCCAAGCATAAAAAAAATAATATGGTGACC